AAGGTTATTTGTTAAACATAAATTGATTTTACGTGTGTTAACACTCCGGTGACGAAAAGTTCCTTAAAAACTCTCCTCTTACAAACTATAACCCGACATCTACCGGTATTGGAGTCCTAGTTTAAAAAAAGTAAAAAAATATTATCCAAATTATGTCCGTGAATCATAATTTACTTGACACCTTGTATCAGACTGTCATATTCTATATAGGTAGTATAAATTATGTCCACATAATTAATCCCACGTAAACGAACCTTGTCGAATCTACCTTGTCCCCAGATTCCATGTCAACTACGAAATCCTACTTTTATTAACCTTTAAGTCCAACCAAATCAAGATATCCTCTCTTCGTGAGTTCATATCAGCGCCACAATTCCCACTACTCACGACCGATTCCATCCAATAAAACAGGGAACTCTCAATATTTAAAAACAGTACACAGAGCGGTAGGTATCAGAGATTTAGAATAAAGTGTTAATATACTATAAATTCGGCGCCAGGTAGTATGTTGCCGTTACTTTTTCGTGGTCCCCTTGCGGTCGATAGGAGACGGCGTGACTTTCCCCGCGTGCACTCGGGTGGTCAAGGACAACGATTACCATAGATGTGTCTCCCATCTGCGTTTGTGTTTCGATCTGAAACTTTGTTCCTTCTATTCCTCTGAATGTTTTTTCATTATCTCTAACAACAGGTCTTCCTATCCGTTTAACCTGAAGTGAAGTTCAGTTCCATTCTGGTGTTACTTACTTTTACCTTAGAATGGATTCTCTTGTTAGGTTATAAATCTAAACCCCATAGGAAATCAAACTTGCCAGCAAATTTTCATAGCTATTGTATGTCTGACTTTTTCGACTTTATGTGTCCGAGCGGTCATACCGTGGCAAGTTACGGGGTTTCGCCGAAGCAGGCGTCCTCAGTAGCCGGGAGGCGACGCGTCACCTTCCGTGCATCCGCGCCACACCCTACGGAATCGCATCGACAGCCCCAGGTGGTCACGTAGAGCTATTCCACTGGGGAGGTACGTTCCATCACTTCTACGGTCATACTTTACAGCTGCTCTGATATAGAGGTTCAGTCTGCGTGGAAAGTAGGCAATAACAAGAGACGCATGTTCCCTTGCCGCACGCGCTGTGCGGCGTCCCCCTGGCCGCGACTTCCTGTACTCGTTGACCGCAAGGGCTCCGCCGGTTGAACCGGGTGCGTCGGCGGCAACCAACTCGAGACGCGTAACTACCTGTGCTCCAGACCTGACCGTACAGTCGGCACAGTCCCGATGTGCGGATAGAACCCGTGGGTGACGTTGCAGCATGGCTTCAATTGCCGCCGTGTCTCGGCTGGTCCAACTCGTTGCTGGGCATCGTCTCCATGTACCCGGGCCTAACTCGACGAGTGATATGGTACCTTGTCGTCCTACATCATGCGGGGGGCGGCGTCCAGCAGCTCTCGGGATCGCTGTCTTCGCGAGAGGTACCGGATATCCCCGTCGCCCAACGCCGGCTGTAGCGCGACTGCGACTACCCGGCGTCCAGCAGGTCGCGCTTGGCGCCGGTCCTTTGCGGAGGTCTTGGTTTCCAGCGTTGACCGCGGTCCCAGCGCGCTGCTGCCTATAAGCTCGAGAGGAGCCTGGTGGCCACGAACCACGTATGGAGTCGTCTGCCGTACAGGAGCTCTACCACTACGTATCGGCACAGTGAGTCTGACCGGCGCGAGGTGAGTCTGGAACGTCTTCTACAGCACGAGCTCAGTATCCGCCGTCCGGACGCGGCTGTGTCGTCTCGTGATTCCCGCGCCGCATCGCTTCCGAGGGCGCTGTCCGGTCGCACCGAGGTCGAACGTTGCTGCTCTGGACCCTATGGTCGATACTGGGTACCGCCGGACAAGTGACAGCCTACTTTGCCCGACAACTGGTGGAGACTGGCAGCCGCCCGGGACTCGTCGGCTACGTGTGGACCACTCCGAATCCTAAGGTGTTCGGCGCTCGCGTGAGGCACTTCTGCAGATTTCTGAGAAATGTAAGGCCCGTGCCGTGCAAATCGGGGCAGGCGTCCCGATCCCCGCCCGAAGCGGACACTGCGCAGAGTCCGCGGCCTTACTGCTGTACCGAACTATCCCTCTGCTGCCCTTCGCAAAGCCTCGGTAGAGAACAAGGCTACTCACCTTAGTGCAGCAATTGACCGGTACTGGTCCTGCTGTCAACAGTGGGTCGCAAGCGCCGTGCGAGCTCAGTATCTACGGTATCTCTGTGTAGCGCCTATTACACCAGCGGATTTTTTTTTTTTGTTTTGGTTTTCAAGGTGGCAGGAATGTGTGCGCGTATGGCGTAGTATACCGTACAGAGACGAAATGGGGGCGTGAGAGCGTCGCTTACGCGCCTTACAGATGCAGCGCTAGGACCGCATTGACTTCATAAGGCACGCGTCCTGCGTACATTGACCCTTCTGTCAGATCCCGGTCTTGCGTACTGCACTAGTCCAGACGGTTCCCAGGCCTTCGCCGCAGCCCCTGGCCGAAAGTTGTCCGACATCCACGTTTCATCTCTGGTTCGCTACTCTGTCGGCCTTCCGACACGAGGGATTCTGGCTCGGGCCGCGCCTTATGCAAGGTTGCCGCCTCTTTGTGCGACGGCTAAGGAATAACTGTGCGGGTTGTAGTGTGAGTCTGGCTAGCTCCCTTCCCTTTGCGTGATCCGCCGTCCGTGCTGGTTGCGTGCTCTGGGTTGTGTGTCTGTTCTGGCGTCCTGCTGCCTGTTTTTTTGGGGGGGGGGTGGCGTCTTCGATTGGTCCCGCCTCTGTCCTTTTGGGTGTTGTCGCCTTGGTCTGTGTTTCGTCTATTGTGTTCTTGTTTGCGTTCTTCGGAGTGTCCGTATTGCTGTCCTTTGGTCGTTGGTTTTTGGCTGTTTGTTTCGTATGGTCCGGGGTCGTGGCGCTGCTTGCCGGTTTTATTGGCTCCCTGCTGGGGTCGTGTTGCTTGTTTTATCCTCTGTTCCTCCGTTTCGGGTTTTTTTTGTTTGCCTGCCCGTGGTGGCCTTGCCTTTTGCCGGGTTCGTGTTGTTCGTCTTTGTGTTGGACGTTCGTGGGGTTCGCCTTCGTTGGTGTCCCGCGTTTGGTGTTTTGTGTGTTCTGGGGTTGCTGTGGTTTCGCGTGAAGGTTCAATGTGTCCTGCGTTTTCTCCCTGGGTGTGTGGGCTCGCCGTCGTGCGTGCGTCATTCGCGGCTCTTTTCGTCAGGTCGTTGGTTCGATTTCGTCCCGTTGGTGTGCCTCGTGGGTAGGGTCCCGTTTCTGGGCGGCCCCAGGTCTCGGTGTTTTTTTCGTCGCGTGCTCGAGCCGTGGTTCCGTGGCGGTTTGAGTCCCCCTGTTCCCCTCGGCTGTGTGGTTCCTCTAGTGATCGAAGAAAAATCATCGTCGTATGCATATCCTGACAAAAGTTTGGAAAAATATGTAGGAGGTTTTAGAAAACATCATAGCATAGAGACAGCACTGGTTAAAGTCACAAATGACCTGCTTTGTGCATCTGATAATGGACTTGCCTCTATCCTCGTTCTGTTAGATCCGAGTGCTGCCTTTGACACTATTGACCATAACACACTACTCCAAAGATTAGAGTTTTTGATAGGT